TAAATACCATATGGCAAAGGAGTGGCTGCTAACTGGAAAGGTCGTCTATTCAAATCTACCAGCTACTCTTTGGGAGAAGATGTGGCAGTTAGTTTCTCTAAAGATTATAGCTTTGGAAAGAAACCCTATGGGACAGTTCTGTTCTGTCCTGTAGGGTCAGGATGAGTTGGAATTTACTCAACAGCAAATAGTAGTAATAGGTATAGACATAGATATTTGGTTTTTGATAAGGAAAATCATTTATTTAATGCATTTATATCCCATTGCAGAGTGATGCAGCGAAGGCATGCTGGGCCCATAACCCAGAGGTTGATGGCTTGAAACCATCCTCTGCTAAAGGTTTGGTGTCCTGGTAGCACACTGCCTAAGGCATCTGACTGCTAACCAGAAGGTTGGTGGTTCAAACCCACTAGCCACTCCACAGAAGCAAGACTGAGCACTCTACTTCCATAAAGATTTACCGCCTTGGAAACCCAATGGGGGTCGCTATGAGTTGGAATCAACTCAGTGGCAGTGGGGTTTTTTTGGTTTCTGGTTTGTTGTTGTTGTTGTTCTAAGTCTTTATTAGTTCTTAATAGAAAAAGAAAAAAAAAAAACCTACTTCCACAGACATACCGCCTCAGAAACCCAAGGAGGGGTCACTATGAATCAGAAATGACTCAATGGCAGTGAGTATAGTATCAAAGAAAAAATAGACATAATATGTGGTAAAGCAGGTCAGCAAAAACGAGGGGCATCTTCAATGACGTGGACTGGCACAACAGCCACACAAAGAGCTCACTTCAGTGATCATGAAGATGATGAAGGACTGGGCAGTGGTTCATTCTGTTATACATAAGGTTCCCATGAGTTGGAGCTGACACAATGGCAGCTAGCAACAACGACCTTTTCCTGTAATTAACTTCATCTTTCATAATGATGGAACAGATGAATCACAACTGGCAGTCTAAACTGTTCATTGAGTTGGTGAAGACATATGTATGATGGTATTTACAGAATACCAGAAGGAGTTCTGGTAGCACAGTGCCTAAGGCTAACCAGACCGCTAACCAGCCACTCCGTGGAAGCAAGACTGGACAATCAACTTCTGTAAAGATCTACTGCCTTGGAAACCCAATGGGGGTCGCTATGAGTCGGAACAGACTCGATGGCGGTGTGTTTGGTTTTACAGAAGGTTGAGCTCAGCATCTAGAAGATGATCGTGTTTTTTCTCCATACATAGGTCCTGTTCACAAAGAAACAGATTTAAGAAGCTAAAATAAAAAAATTTACTATTTATTAAGCTACTGTTATTAAGGAGGAGCGCTGGTGGCATAATACCTAAGACATTTGACTGCTAACCAGAAGGCTAGCGGTTCAAACCCACCAGCCACTCCTCAGAAGGAAGGTTGCACAATCTACTTCAGTAGTGATATGGCCTCAGAAACCCAAGGAGAGGTCGCTATGATTCGAATCTGACTCAATGTCAGTGAGTTTGGTTTTTGGTATGTTACTAAGGAGCTCTGGTGACACAGTGGAAAAGGCATTTGGCTGCTAACCAGAAGGTTGGCAGTTCAAACCCACCAGCCGCTCCACAGGAGGAACATGAATTAATCTACTTCTGTAAAGATATACAGCTTTGGAAATGCTATGGGGGTTGCTATGAGTTGGAACTGACTTGATGGCAGTGGGTTTTGGTTTTGGTATTTTTATTTTCAGTTCTTTTTCCTTCTTGGATTCTCCCATCTGAGACTTTTTTACATTTCAGAGAAGTGTGGTATTTATTAAAAGGGATTATTTAGGAAATCCATTTGAGGTGAGATTCTTGATATCTTGGGGACAAGCTGAATTTAGAGAAACAGCTCAGTAGAGTAACATAATTCTGATAATAATGTTTAAAAGATCCAACAAATTTATTATTAATGGAATTTCATTTCTATAGTGATATCTTCTATATAAATACAATATTTCTTTTTCTTTTTTTCTTTTGAAACTTCAATATTTCTTGAAGAATTGGTTATAAATTTGAATTTAGAGTTCCAGGATCCAATTCAAATGTAAATTCTTTCAAAACCCCTCAAGAAAATCTATAACTTGGATCTCTAGTGATTTATGTTTTCTGAAGCAATCTCTTACTAGTCACTGAGTTATCATAAATCTTTTCTTATAATATTATGTATGTATATGCACCCTCACTGATATAAACCCCATTTCATCCAAATAATGCAAGGAGTGTTAAAAGTTTATTACTCTTCAGAGGATAGCTGAAAGTTAAATGTGTCACATATATTGTTTCCAATTTGTAGCTTATAATTTATTTTATTTTATATTTTTGCACAGAGAGTTTGAATATAACTTAGAAATGTTTGCATTTGCAGCTGACGTTTCCCCCCAGGCTAGA